GAAATGAAACTGTTCTTGTTATAAAATTACCTTATTTTCGTTCATTTTATTTGCTGGTAAGAGAACAGATTCAGATTCCTCATTTTGGTGGTATTTTTCTGTGTTTCGTTTAGTTTTAGCGAGTCCGATCCCATGCCCGGACTACTTAATACATGCAAAACACGCGAACGCCGCCTGGTGCGTCGGCGTCGCTGCCATCTTGATACAAAGTTCCAAAACAAATGCGTACATTTCCAAGTATGATTGGATGGTTGTGGTGGCGTCGGTCTGGTAAAATTTTACATCCAATTTTCAAAATTAAGTCACGATCAGTGACCTGAGCTCGATCTTATACGTACTTTAAAAGTATTCTCACAAACAAATATTTTCGAATAAAAACGAGCCACAGGCCTGGTAAAAAATCGAATAGCACTTGACATGCAGAAATAATTTATTGGGCTTCAGAAAAAAAGTGTTAATTTAGTTGTAGCCGTAAATATTTGGTGACCAGTCAATGAACAATTTTAAACTCATTATGCACACGGAAGTCCTTCGATACTGAATATCATCGACCCCAATCTGGTTTACCTTATTTTCCAACTTGCAAAACTGATTTGTATCTCAGCCCAGTTTTTCTTTTTTCTTTTTTTGAACTGAGGTCAAATCCCAGCCGTTTGTTAAAACATACAGATGTTTTTCAGTGAATGATTGTGAAGCCTGTCCCAGCACAGTGAATGGACGCCTGAGATTGGACAGTACGACGACTCTTCAATTAGCGTCAAATATGCTTTGTTACAACATCATTGATTTGCTGAAAGTTACCTGATCGGAGCACGACCTGGGTCACAGAACCATATTTGTCCGTATTATCAACAAGACTTTGCGAGAGAACCACACCCACATTTTCAACCATTTTTAGCGAAGAAGTTGCCAACAAATGTTGAAAAACTCGTGAATTTTATGGATTTGAATAAAATAAAATAAAGCTAGCGATTGGTAAGACTGGTTAATAATATATCCCCCGATGCTCTTCGAATTTTTTTAATTTTATTTCAAGGCGATAATTGAAGTTCCATCGATTTCAAGGCGACTGTTTCACCGCGACAATTCTACGCTGTGTTGTAGTTTCACGAGGTAAAAAAATAGATATAATAAATAGTACTTGTTTAATTATTTGGTTTTACAGCCCGCAAATTATGGGACATGATCCCCATGAATTACGATAAATAAATGCTGATTGTGTTGAATAATGGACGTCGGGACCGTTTGGAGAAACCAACGTGGATCGATATTTCAAACAAATTATTGGGACACGGTCGGTAGACATTTCAAACAAATGAAATTATTAACGAAAGACGAGATTTTTCCAGACATACTGTCACACCAAATATATGCAAAATTGACAAATACACAAAGAGATATTAGGTTTTATTTTAGCCTTAGAAATATTTTCTTTCACTCAGTCCATGCGTGGGACTTCTATTTAGCTTCATGGTCCTTCGGCTTGTGTTCTCCTTGGGGGAATTAACTATAATTATACAAATTGTAAACTCAACACAGTCAGGAAAAGAAACCCGAACAACCATGTCGTACTTCTGTTGAAATACATTTTGTAGCAGTGCGTCACGTCAGAATATTGTTTAAAATAAAATAGTCAATCCCAGCCAAATCTAGTTCAAAGGGTCAGATTGCGTGCATATAATTATAGATAGTTAAAACAAAAAGTATTTGAACTTTTGACGGTTGTTCAACTCTATGAAAACCAGAAAATTGTTAGTAGTCCGAATTTTTGCACAGTCGAAAATAAAGAGGAAATTCAACAAGCGGTCGCAAAAGCGAGCGATTGAAAAGCGGAAGCGGGCAAGAGGTTGGGCGAAATGAGTTCTGTACTTCTTTGTTTGATGAAGCGATGCTGATGCCACATTGTCGCCATAATGAGACCACAATGAAGCGAAGCGATAACCGCCTAACTTTATAATGTCGCGACATTGATGCGATGCTGAAGCCATAACAATGCCATAATGATGCGATGCTGAAGCGTAGGTGAAGCTGAAGTGAAGCCAAAGCTTCCGCGAGAACTGTACTGTATATGTCACCAGCCTACACTTTGAGATATATCATAAATTTTTTTCCATAGGAACCCTAGGTAAAAGTGTAATAATACTGACAAAATAGCCACTATCCACTAAAATACAACTACATGTATAATTTTCTCTAAAATTAGGCTGGTGACCCCCCAACTTTTTTAAGTCAATATCCTTGCATTGCCTCGGAGTACAATTTATTGCAAAATAAATTTCGAGTATTTGCGTTCATAAGTAGGCTTCTACATGTACCTTAAGTTAAGTTATGTGATGTCAGAGGTAGCTTTATGATACTGCCATATTTACATTAGCACATGCATTACTAATAGAACAAATACAGTATGTGCTTTTGTATTCTTTAATTTTTGTTTGACATTTGTCTTGAGGATAATTCTATCTTTCTAATTCTGAGAAGAAAAACATTCAAACTACATGTGGTACTAATTATTGGATTATGATATTCTGAAATCTAGATCTGAGAGTTTATGAAATAGAATTAATTATCTTTAGTTGACATTTGCAGTGAGACATGGTCACACTACTAAACTAATTAATTTTTGTGATAATGTTTTCTCTGGGAAGTTTTTGTTGACTTTGTCGAGCGGAGCTTATCATATGAGTCATTGTCTGTTGTCGTTCAATTGATTTTATTATACTATACAGGTACCTCAGGTAGACCTCTCTCAGATTTGTCCATATTCTAATATCTTCAGTTCTTTAATTGAAATGTGCATTGCTAATAGCGGAGTTATCTCAGACCGAAGAGGCTGCTTGTTTTTTCTTGTCTTAATTTATTTTGTGTCTCCCTCTCAGATAAATGACACAGAAGATGCAAATGACCCAAGCAATCCTTTTGCAAGTAGTAATATTGGAGTGGAGAAGTTCTTGGAGCTCAACTCCGAGCAGAATCATGATCCATACTGTTTAGCATATATTTTTACTGACAGAGACTTTGATGATGGTGTACTGGGACTCGCATGGGTTGCTTCTCCTAGTGGTAAGTTCCATGGCAAATTTATAGACACCAAGCCAATATGTAACATTATCCATTTTTTTGTGGATGTGTCTGACCATTTAAAGGGGAACCGATACTATAAATAGGGGCAAGATGGCCACCGCAATTAGTATGCTAATCCGAACCAAGCCGCTCACATCATGGCGGAAGCTCCGGAAAATGTGCCATTTACGATGTTCAGAGATCAAGCTGTGATTCCAAATACATTTCTATGAGGGCATGAATATGTACGCTAGCGATTACACTCGTCTGGTTGGGCCTTTGATGTATAAGAGTTGTTGTTTTTGGTTGAAACGTGCCGCGACAAGTAAAAATCATGAGTTTAAAATGGCAACTAATGTCTACAAAATGCCTGTCAATCACAGTTTGAGTAAGCAAACATAATAAGTATTCATTTACTTAGTGGACGAGGTGGAGTTAATTACCCATGAACACGTGGTACAATCCATGGGATTGAGCGGCTCCCCTTTAATAAACCTATGTAATCAACATAGTCATTATCGATTGGAGGAAAAGACTTCTGGGTCTAGGTGAGAGAGTCTGCATTACAATGGATGACGTCTAGATTGTCAGTGAGGTTGTACACTTGTTTGGTAATCACCAGTAAGTGCAAAAATAACATGATTAGCATGGTCAACCTCAGATTTTCCAAAGAACTTTTTTCGTTGAGACCTGCCAAAACTCAGCTTGCTAAGAAGAACAGTATTGTTTAAGGGGATAGCTACGCTTAGTTGGCAGCATCAACAATACTGCGATTTCAGGTTGCATACAAAAATCAGCTTACCAAAAAGACGATGTGCTAGAAAATCATGCCAGTAATGACCTCTTCATGCAGGGTTATAACCCTTAATTAGGTATACAATAACTTCTTGCATTGATAATGCAATAAACTGTGTAACCAGAATCATGAATGCGTATGTGTGTACGTAAAGATGTAAGGAAATCCAACGTATGTGACATTGTGTGTTAAACGTGCATGTATAGATTTCAATGCAATGCAATGTTTTATTGTTTATGATCACTTGTAAAGTAACAAAAAAATCTGTAAAATGTTTTCTATTGGTGTACATATTATAATACCATGATGCTTTGATTTCTATGAACGAAAACACCACAAATGTGTTGTTTCTGTCCACCAGTCTTTCATATATTATATGTGATATGTCAGTGCAACATTTAGCCATAGAGGGCATACTACAAAATGTAACAGCCAATGAAAAGGCTTGATGTACAATCATCTCTGATGAACGAAAACACCACATATGTGCTGTTTCTGTCCACCAGTCTTTCATATATTATATGTGATATGTCAGTGCAACATTTAGCCATAGAGGGCATACTACAAAATGTAACGGCCAATGAAAAGGCTTGATGTACAATCATCTCTGATGCAATTTATCAACAAGTATAATACTGTTATTTGTGCCACACCAGTAGTTCTCATTCAGCATTGCCAGAAGCCAGTATACAGAATAATTCTGCCTAAGTGGCTGTTTTTGACTGAACACTGAGGCAATAGCAGCCGCTTGAGATATAATTCATGATATTGACTGAACCCAAGGGAGTACTGATTTATTATCCCAAAAGCAGTCCTACTACTAGACGCACGGACATGCAGGGGACTGTCCGGGCATTTGCGGGAGCGAACAGGGGGAAATGCCTAAATACCTAATACCCAAAAGTGAATAATAAGGTATTAAAGTTGAAACTGTAAGCCAACTTTGAGGTCTTTATTTATCAATCATATATTCACTTTTGACTTAAAGGATGTGCATTTTTATTTGTAGGTGCTTCAGGTGGTATTTGTGAGAGATACAAGATGTATGCAGGTGGTGCTAGGAAGAGTTTAAATACTGGTATTATAACAATACAGAACTACGGTAGTAGAGTGCCCACCAAAGTGTCACATATCACATTTGCTCACGAAATGGGTCATAACTTTGGATCTCCTGTGAGTACATTAATATATTAACTTTACCAGCGCCAGTTCCCTCTTTTCATCACATCACATAGACCTGTTTATAGTCTGCACTTTTCTTCAGAAGATTGGAACAAAACTAGACACATTTTTTGAGTAGGAAATGAAAATTGACTAAAATTTTGCCTGTTGGCTCCAAAATTAGGGTTCATTTCCAGGAATATAATAAAAAAAGTGCAGAAAAAATTAGGCGGGAAATTCTGGTTGTGAAAAGGTTATTGATTCTTACCATATGCTATCATTTCATTTCAGATGTCAAAAAAATCAAAACAAGCTTATAGTAATACAGATATCAATTTTAATAAAAAACAATTTCCTCAACAATTTCCCAGACGTGATTGCTTATTTTAGAAAAAAACAACAACGTGTTGTTTTGATTTGTTTTTGAATTAAAAATGTCCAACTGATTTATGTCTGGATTGTACAAGATTGTGCAATATCTTATTCCTAGTAATTGTCACCTTGACTGAAAGAAAGCTGGATAGAATACCATTTGAAGTATTAAACACATATTTTTTGCTCCGCTGTCATAGATGACTTCTTCTTGAACACTACCAGCTCAATTGCTTTGATATTTTAGGTGTACAATTTTTTTGATGAAGTTAAGTTTACATGATCTCAACAGCCAGTCACCAATCTACTTTTCTGTGGGTTAACCATGTTTTGTCTTATGTGCGTTGGTTGCTTGACCTAGCTACCTCAATGTTCTTTTAGGACAGGGGAGCTATTTCATCATGCTGAATACTCTTCCCTTCTGAACATTCAATTATAATGCATCTGCATTTTCCATTTTTACCTTGACCGTATCATCAAAAATTGAAGGTATATTGAGGGAAAAAATGTCTGTTGTTGCTGTTGTCGTCGTCGTCGTCGTCGTTGTCGTTGTTGATAATTGTCATTGTGTACACCATAAATTTACTAATTCTATTCAAACTATATCAAACTTAGTCACCTGATTCGTCATTATAAAATCTTCCTTTAGTGTGAACGATAGATGTCCTCTGTTTTATTGTAGCACGATTACCCATTGACTTGTAGACCAGGTGATAACACTGACGAAAACATAGCAGAAGAGGGCAACTACATAATGTATGCGAGGGCAACTTCGGGTGACAAACCCAATAACAACAAGTTTTCAGAGTGTAGCAAAGGAAACATGACTAATGTTTTGAAAGTCAAAAAAGATATTTGTTTTGTATGTAAGTATTTTATGTATAGGAATATTATGCTGTGTGTAACAGTTACTGGATATTTGAGCTTTGAAACTAAATAAACCAGTGTGTAATTTCTGGTGTTTTGTTTTGTCTTTAATGATTAAAAAAGAAAGTATAGAGGTTACTTTGCCTGTTTGGCAGCATTGTTAACTAATTTGTGTGTCTAGGAAAACTCTTCTCCAATATGTCCCAAACTTGCATATATTATCCATCAGTGTATTATGTTGGTGCAGTTGACAAGTTAGACACGTGTAAATTTGGAGATATTGGTGAAAATTTGTCTACGAAGTCTTGGTTTATCATAGGCTTGGTACAATATGATTTGGGCAGCTTACATTGTAATGCTGAACTGCTACATGGCGACCACCACCCTTTGACACATTTGCTTGAATTTGACATATTATGTTCTGGACAGCTTACACTGTAATGCTGAACTGCTAACACTGCTACATGACGACCACTGACCTTTGACACATTTGCTTGAATTTGACATATGATTTTGGACAGCTTACATTGTAATGCTGAACTGCTACATGACAACCACCACCCTTTGACACATTTGCTTGAATTTGACATATTATGTTCTGGACAGCTTACACTGTAATGCTGAACTGCTAACACTGCTACATGACGACCACTGACCTTTGACACATTTGCTTGAATTTGACATATGATTTGGGCAGCTTACATTGTAATGCTGAACTGCAAACACTGCTACATGGCGACCACCACCCTTTGACACATTTGTTTGAATTTGACATATGATTTGGGCAGCTTAAACTGGAATGCTGAACTGCTAACACTGCTACGTGATGACGACGACGACGACCACCACCACCACCACCACCACCTTTTGACACATTTGCTTGAATTTGACATATGATTTGGCAGCTTACACTGTAATGCTGAACTGCAAACACTGCTACATGACGACCACCGACCTTTGACACATTTGTTTGAATTTGACATAATATGATTTTTGCAGCTTAAACTGGAATGCTGAACTGCTAACACTGCTACGTGATGACGACCACCACCACCTTTTGACACATTTGCTTGAATTTGACATATGATTTGGGCAGCTTACATTGTAATACTGAACTGCTAACACTGCTACATGGCGACCACTGACCCTTGACACATTTGCTTGAATTTGACATATGATTTTTGCAGCTTAAACTGGAATGCTACTGCTAACACTGCTACATAGGGACCACCACCCTTTGACACATTTGCTTGAATTTGACATAATATGACTTGGGCAGCTTACATTGTTATGTTGAAATGTCTTATAGCATCTGACGTTCAGTTCTGTGGTAATGGTATCATTGATGGCGACGATGAAGAGTGTGATTGTGGGTTTGAGGATCAGTGCGAAGACATTTGTTGTATACCTCAGACAGAAAATGGTGATGATAATGCATGTAAGAAAAAATCTGGTAAAGTATGCAGGTGAGTAATATTATAATTGTGTTTGTTTCTCTACTATGTTAAATTGTCCTGTATTGAGGTCTGTACAGGTACCTCAATCGTGTATCCGAGTTGTGCGGGTAATCTGAAGCCACCACACTGATGTGTGTGT